ACGATTATTGAAACTTTCGTGATCTGGAACATTCTCGAGGATCGTTAAGGATATTTATCGACATCAAGAATAAGCCGTATCATTGATTGGACATCACATAAGTATTAAATCTCCTTTATATTATTGTTATATTATTTAGTTTTCAAAATATAAATATATTGTTATCATATTTTAATTGCTGTTTTTACCTTCTGTTATTTTCGTACGTAACACTAATGTGAACACTTTTGAGTCCTGAGTCTCAGTAGTGTTTAATAAAACAGATTTTACTAAATTATATTACATATAACACTGTTAGTAACCTTAACACAGCTAAAGACAGTTTCTAAACAGGATCACTAATTGCTATCTTCCCTCTTAAACGGCTGATCAAAATCTTAAACTCTAACTTACCATACTTTTGATCGACTTTGGCGTTCTGTCAATCTCTGGGGTTTCTGGAATATCAAAATCTTCGGCAGTTGCCAAGGAGCAACGGTTGGCCGGATTCAGCGCACAGCACCAGGGACGTCGCTCCACAAGCCCTAGCTTGTCCTCAGCCTCACTCTGTCCTGTTGCCATAGCGATATACAAGACATGAGGCATCCAGAAGCTATTGTGTTATTCTCGCCTATTCTTGCTGGTAATGTAGAGTCTTATGATATCCTATCAAAGTCTGAAGGTGTCTTAATGTTTTCCCCGAAAATCTCCAGATTTAGAAAATTTTCAGATATAAGTTCCTCAGTTGAGTGAAAATTCGAGTAATATTCTGATCCTCAGAAAACAGTCAACTGATTCTGTATAACTGCCTCAGTTACCATCTACACAGTAGCAAGATCTTTCAATAAAATCAGTTATCAAATTAAATGGTTTTGTGTTATACAAATTGTATATTTGATTGCTTATCATCCAAGGTATGGTCCAGTATGGTACAATTATAACTTTAGATTAGATCCATAAACTGTTGCCTCACTGCTTACTCCTCTTTGTCCAGTATGATTCAATTGTATGACGGACCTGATGAGAAACACAATATTATATAATATCATCGGTTAATCCCAAACTGACCAATCGACAGCTAGTATCTTATCTGTTTCCACTGGCGTGATGGGAATTCTCCTAGACGCTCTGAAGGATGAGGTGTTACAGTTATGATGTTGTTGCTCAATTCCTGATCAAACCTGATTCATAATTACGGCATTTTCCATAATAAACACAAAGTTAATCAGATCTTAACCTCCAAGGGCTTGGCATGATTTTATAAACAGTAAATGTATCTTGTTATGGAGTATGTGTGATGTACTGTCTGTTGGTACATGTAGATATTTATTTTATGTTATTGTACACAGCTGGAATCTAATACCCTGACATGGCTAAATGTTTTGATGGGTAAGTCTTGTAGCTTATTCAGTATCTGTATATAAACATTGCCTATCAGTTATCTCTCACAATCAATGTCCTTTCCTTATACGCTGGTCAATCTTAATATCTTTAAAGCTGCGATTTCACATTTGCATCTTTTCCACAGAGTGATTAATTTGATTCTGGCAGTGCCCAAGTGTCCAGTTGTTTTGCGTTCTATCAAGTGTAAATTATCCAAAATGGCTGACTGAAGTTAGGAATCATTTCCATGGAGATTACAACTACTGAGCTAAATATAGAATTGGAAAAGCCGATCAGTTAATCTGGTCCGGGTTAACACTTCACCTCCAGCGGGAATCAGGCTCTAATAATCCCTTGAAGATTCTGGTAGTTTTTCAGAGACAAGCCTTGAATTTGATGTTAATGTCAAAGAATCATAGATTCCTATTTGTTGATTGTTTACATCAGCCAAAGGATGCGATCTTCAATCTACGTCATGAGATAATCTTAAACATGACCTAGCATATACAAAAACTCTTATTGTAGAGCAGAGCCAAGATCTAATAATAGCACTTAAAGTCCAATTCCAAGAGAGTACTATGATTCACAAACGTGCTATTTGTTGATTTTATACGAGAAATCAATGATACCCTATTGCACATTTTTTATGTTCAGCCACTGTTCATATTGCTTTATTGCCACCCTGAGGAAATTTAATAGCCGAGTAAATCTTAATTTTATTGTATTTCAAAGATAAAATCGCTCCTAAGTTCACCTTTGTACGTTATTGATTTTTTCCAGTAATGTTCTGTATAATGTTATTAATTTTCTCAGCAAATTCACACTCGTTGATAAATCTTTAAATTAATGAGGCGAACGTAAAGTTAGAATGTTTTTCTCTTCACTCCGATGTGTGTAATTCTATTCTTCCAGTTTAATGATTGATTTTTCTACCACTGTAATGAGTAATCATGCACGATAATGTGCAACTTTTTATAATTCCACTTGAAATAAGATTCTATACTGAACAATCAATTCTGGTACAAAAGTACAATTTCCCATCAAATATTACCGCAATTGATCCAAATAACAGTATTAAACAATATAATGTTCATTGGCAAAAAAAACTCATTTTTGCATGATCCAATAACTCAATCCAGTTCAGATCAACTCATAGGTCAAGACAGCTACATGTAAATGGAGTACATCTTCCTTTTAATAATTCAGTATCTTCAGACCATCTACTATCTTACTGACCCTCTACTATCTTATGTTAGTCATATATGCATCTTGCTTTAATTAGCACAGGGACAATCATTCTTGACTGACTCACAGAATTGATGCTCTAATTAGATTCCAGTGGGACTGGGAGCACTCTCAACTCAGCTATCATATCTTAGGCAATTAGTCCAGCACTGGTATATATCATAAGTAGGTCAGTAATATGTGCATTACTCTACTCCAGCTATCATAACTTGGGCAATTAGTCCAGTACTGGTATACATCATAACTAGGTCAGTAATATGTGCATTACTGGTGATTACTCAAAGTAACATTAACATCCGTTGAAAGGATAGGTGTATGTTATTCATTTGTCTCAACTCATATACTTCCAGATTTCAATTCAGTATGCATAGTGTGAAGCGTCAATAAACCAAAATGAATCTCTTTTACATAAGATATGATCCCAAATAACTTTGGTCTAATTAATACATAACTTATAGTATAACGATTAATCCAAACACGTGCTAGTATGTATCCATCTAAATTCTAAAATGATCTGATTATATCAGAGCAGTGTAAATACAACACTAATAGCATTGATAATTTCATTGTTTTTATACTCATTTAGTTCCTGCCTGAAGCTAGATTCTAATATGTGACGATGATGTTATGTACGTGACGATGATTCTATGTGCTCTCTCATCGTAAACATGCTGTCATTGTCGCCACATGGACGGGTATGTCTGGTGTCAAGTGCTTTATCTTACTCTATTCTCTGCGGCCAATGTCTTAATATGAGCGAAGCTGTGTAGAACCACACCAATACGCAGCATTGCATCTCGTTTTCCATGGTTTGAATCTATTGATTATATCTAGCGGAAAAATCTAACAACTTAGCATTTAACCCCTTGTAAATTTCCACAACGATCTTATCCAAAGTGTTCTCAGTTTGTGAATTATGATTGAGAATGTTGCAAAGTGTCGCTAAATTACGCTTAATTAACGCAAAGTGTTGAGATACATACGACGAATGCATATTAGAGAGCAAATTAAATTATTTGACCAACTTGGCAAATTGCCAAAACTGAATTCGGTAATTTACTGACAAAATACAATCTCCATGGAGATAATTTGGAAATTGTAGTGCTATTAGTGTGAGTCAACATGTTATTTGTTTTCTAAAAACATACACTCACATTTAGACATTGTATTTCCTCTAGCTAAAATAAATGAAGTGTTATTTTGAACAAAAATATTACTCTTATTTAGCACAAGTACAACTGAGTACTTAACTAAAATATAATTCCCATTAATTTCATGATGAAACATAGCCCTATTTCAAATTCTAGCAATAATCAATATTTTATACCAAAAAATTTCATTGAACAAATAATGAAAACAACTTAAAGAACAATGTAAAACGACCAGTAACAATGATCTATTATCTGAATAACTACCCTATTTGCCTGACACACAGTAAACATTTTACACAGAAGAAAACATTCTTTGGAACCAAGAGAAAAAATATAAGTAATCGATTTAGGGGGGGGGGGTTAAAATGTCATTTTCATAAACTTGGCATAAATTTATATCGCAAAAAAAATTAGTGTCATAATTTATGATGTGAAAATTCATCAACCCTTCACTAACATTATTAAGGGGGAATCAAAATGTAATCATTTTAGGTTTATATCATAAATTGTTAAATCGATTCATTCTCTTAGAACATGGGATTTCTTGTCTTAAGAATATGGCACAAGGTTTGACTTAAGAAACTGGTCGTGTTATTGATTTCTCTGGTTTATACTGGATTGGGTTGGTCATTAATTAAATTAAGACTTATCTGACCACAAAATATATTGGTTAAGTTACAAGGCAACAGTGTGGAATAATTCTACCATAAACTGGAATAATCCAGAATACGGCTTTTGGTTGCATGTTATATACACCATCTATAATTCAACATTGAAAATATAAGTAGTTTGAAACAGAAAACCTTGAATATTTAGAGGTTATGTCACTATTGTGGCATATATGCCCGAGGTCTCAGTGATATATTGCCCGATCTTGGGAGGGACATTGATCTCTGGGAACCGAGGGCATATGTGCCACGATAGTGACATAAACGATTTATAACATACCTATGATGATGTAGAATGGTCAGAGAGTACCGGTTTCTTATAGAATTGACAAACAAATGGTTTGAAAATGATTGAAATGAGTTTAGAAAAATTGCTCGTGCAGTTTTATCTTCGATTGATTGGTTATGACGTCAGCGCCTTGACCAATCAGAAAGTTAGCGGGCGTGGGCTTTTCAAAACTTATATTGGCCCGCTGTCTGTGTACACTTTGCACTATACATCATCATAGGTAAGTTATAAAATACCTTTAAAGAACAGGGTTGATTTGTATTAAAAATACTACATCGTAAATACCTTTGTTTGGCTACTGTTTGTCCTGTCAGCTTGACCGCAAATGTCCATGTGTTGTTGGCCAGCTGCTTTTGGGCTCTCACCAGGGGTCACTGATATAGGTTTGTTACACATGAGGCATGTCAGTGCCCATTTATCCTAAAAACAAAAATGATTTATAACATTTGCCCATAACATGGTGATTTCAACAGTGTAAATGCAAGTCAAGTCACTATACATTAGATAGTTTGTCAAGTCAAGTCAATATACATTAGATAGTTTGTCAAGTCAAGTCAATATACATTAGATAGTTTGTCAAGTCAAGTCACTATACATTAGATGGTTTGTCAAGTCAAGTCAATATACATTAGATAGTTTGTCAAGTCAAGTCAATATACATTAGATAGTTTGTCAAGTCAAGTCAATATACATTAGACTAGTTTATCAAGTCAAGTCACTATACATTAGATAGTTTATTTACTGACCGATTTGTTTTATAATTGTTTGTTTGTTTTATTTTGAAATAAATTTTGACATACTGCTTCACTTTGTTAGTTGCTATAAACTGACTTGTTTGTTTGTTCGATTTTGACATAGTGCATGCTTGCTTGTTGTGTTTATTTGCTTGTTTGATTTTGACATATTCCTTGCTTGTTGCTAAAAACAATGGTTTATTCAATCTAAAGAATTCCTAAATTTGAGATGTGTGCTTCATGACCTTATATGGACAAATGGCCTTGATGTCAGTCATAAAATGCCATGGGCATAGCGCTATATTTCTAAGTACTGTAGTATGCCACCGCAGGAACAGTAGTTGAGCAAAGCAAAAAACGAGCGTTTAATTAAGGGGGTCTGGGGGGTTAGCATGTATGTAGTGACTGACTACCTGACTATCACGATATTTTCCCGTTTACTGGTTCGAAAACCATTAGTTTTTCTTTCGGTTCTCGTCAGAAAGTTAAACAAAGACATAAATTAATAACAGTTATTTATATTATAAAGTTATTGATCGAAAAAATGCCGCGAATATGCGCGGAATTTCTGCAGAATTAGCCCTTTCTTCTTGCAGAATTCACTAATTTCACTTGCAGAATTGAGCATTTTAACTTGCAGAAAACTGGGGGGAGTGAGTTATAAACCTTTCTTTCCAGTAGAGTAGAAGTTAGAGCTTCGCTCCACAAAATGGTGAAAAGTAGCTCTGAGTATTGATGTTTCATTCAGTGGCAAAATGAATGAAATGTTTCAATTTACTTCAAGCACTTTGGTTTGCGATGTAATGTCAATGGGACATCTAAAACATTCAAGAAAACACATTTTATCAAAGTCTCGCAAGGGTTTGTGAAATGAAGAACAAATGAAAGTTTTTCAAATAATCTTGACCAATTACTCAGATGTGAGTAGGTACATGTAGTTACCAGTTTTGCCACCAGGTGGCTGATTCGGGGAAATAACATGGCAGGGTATTTCAAAATTCCCTTAAACTTCAATATGCATCAGTTTTTGTGGTTCACTTTTCATATTACTCTTATGTATGTGATACAGTGTAGTTATACAAATTAAAATATGTCCAGTAAAAGAAAATATTATCTGCCCAACACAAGAAAAGATATTTCACTTTTTGTAGTTTTACAACATGGGGTCTATGGGGAATCTCACCAACCTAGAAGTCACATTTTCAAAGAAAATTAAATTTTCAAATTTGATACACTCTTTTCAAAACCACATTTTAATGACGTAAATGAAGATCATTTCTACTCGCATCTAGGATATAAAGCAGGTAATAGGTACAGATAATATATATTTTTATTTTTCTGTGGAGTGTTTTAACTTCCCCTATTTTTTCACCACTACCTGATGGGGGGATGATTACTACTCACTGTGGCCTTATCATATTAATTTACCATACAAAAATAAAATGTGTAAATAAATGTGTACCTTTTGTTGATCACTTGTATCTGGGCAATTGTGAAGGCTGTACTCTATGTGGCCACAACTGTTGAAGAAAAATAGAAAGAATTTCTTATACATAATTAAAATCATGCTGCTTCTTCAGTGTCATACTGCAAATTCTATGAAATATGAAAATCCGCATTTTCTTGGTTTACATCGATGCATGAGATTTTGCAAATTCTGGTCGATTATTGGTCTGAGCTTTTGTATTATTAATATCTTGATTCATGCTACTATCTCCTGATTGTACTATCAACTGAAAGACACCCCTAGTCTATAGACTGAACAATGAACAGGTTTACTTACCAATAAAGCTTCTTACAAGTGGCACATCTGAAACTTACTGGATCTGGAACATAAGAAAACATGTTGATATAAACGATAAAATATGTATTACACATTTAGTTGAGATTATGTACCCGTTTTGGAGTTTTCATGAAATGTGATATGTCAAGACTTTATTCAATTTAAAATTACCCTAATATTCAAACTACCACATTTCAACGAGCAAGGGAAATATTTCACATAAAAATGTCTCGTTCTCCTCCTAATATCTTCAGTAAGAGGACAATATACGAAAAATAATATTGCTTGTAAGTTCTTTATAAGGTAATCATTTTATCATTACACAAACTTAGTTGTAACATTATACAACACTACATTTTACAAATGTCAATAGGTGACTTACAGTCTGAATATTTATTCAAACGAAGGATACTACTCAAATCCCTTCCCTGTGCTGAATACCATAGACTCAATCAAATACGGCTTTGGACATGAGTCACTTTTCTGATTCTTTACAATCATTTCTTTCAAACTTGAACATCGTAAATAAATTTCACTGACGTAAAAATAAAAAGGCGTGGTTGTGTTTTGAAAATTTGTTTGGCAAAAAACTTGTGGGCGATAATATGCGAAGCTAAATTTCTTCTAACCAAGAGACGATGATACCAAGAATATATATCCTAAGCAATCTTGGTTGGTTTTTAAGTTATATAATTGATGAACAAATGAAACAAGACGTATATTACCTGTGCATTCGCATGTTTTATCTTCACATTTTGAAGTGAAATTCTCATCCATTTTAAAAACATGACGTTGATTACGGATATCATGCGGTAAATTCCGACAAAAAATATTAAGATTGAAAAAGTTACCGGCGTGACCATGGCTTAGTCAATTAGTCACTAAGAAACGTTGAAAATGGAGTCGAGTTCTACATTCTTGTCAGTGTGGAACGTAAGGATCTGAAATTTGCTGGTCAAAATGGCAACATGGACCAGTTGGAATGTTCGTTTCCTATACCTAAGAAATTCTCCATCTAAAATGTCACTCGACTTTTTTGTGATTATGAGTTAAAGAAAGCATTCTTGAGTTTAAAATTGACTTCTGTGGTAACTTGAAACCATCTTCTAATTTATTCCACTTACCTTTTATTGTTTCTCCAAATATATTCTTTGAAAATCGGATTTTAAGGGTGTTAATCAGGGTAATTCTGTGCCATTTTATCAAAAATCTTGTTGCTATCTAGAAACGAGCAAATGTGATCTTGTTGTTACCTAGGAACGAGCAACTGTGATGTCACTTTACACTCATGTTAATTCTGGAATCACATGGCAGCCATTTTGGAAATTTCAAAAAAGTTCCCAATTAAAAAGGCTAAATGCTGTTTACAAATTGGAAACGATGGCAGAATCAACAAAGGGTTTGTGAAATAATTAGGATATGGTTTCAAAATTATGCACATGACAATATATGACTACTAAATGCAGGCAGGGACTTTTAATTGCCAAAAAGTCGAGTGACATTTTAGATGGAGAAATTCTTAGTGAAAAAATCAACTGGTCAGTATCAAACAAAAGTTACCTGGTAATGACCAGTGGACCAACTGGACCGGCTGGATTTAACGAAGCCAAAAGTTTGCTGCGTTTAGATTTTATCGCTTCATGTCTTTAAACCACAGATATATAATCAAAGTAGATAATTTTTTTATGTTTTATATGTCTCTGGTTCACAGCCAAATAGCCTTAGATTTAAAGGTTCTTCAGCATTTTGGCTAAAGAGCCTTAACATTTGAGGTTCTCCAGACACTTTGATTTACTATATATTCTGACCCATATACAAGTATCTCTCTCTCTCTCTTTAAACACGTGGAGCTACAAGTATCTCTCTCTCTCTCTTTAAACACGTGGAGCTAATTCCCTGGAAATAGCCTTAGTCGTTCTTGGGATAAATGTGCGTACAGGCCCGTAAGACACTTTTCTCCAAGGGGGGTGCGGTTTTTAGCTTACTAAAGAGAATATAAAATTGTCATTTTTTTGCAGCGTAAATCAAATCGCGTAAGACAGAGGGGGGAGGGGGGGGGGTCAGTTACTCCCTATATTGGTTTGGCATTAACAAATGCATGCAACTTCCAATTGTTTTGTTGGGGGTGTGAGGAGTGGTCCACTCCCCCTAATAAATTTTACAGTTTTGAGATACTATTTGGTGCTTTCTGGGCACTTTCAAAGTGTAAGTTTCTAAGTAGTACGCCACCACCACGGGAATAAGAGTTGAGTGAATAAAAAACCGAGCATTCAGGGGGGTCTGGGGGTTCTCCCCCAGGAAAATTTTGAAATTTGGTTGTATTTGGAGCGAATTTGCAACCATCTGGTATGCCTGTGCGTTATGAGTCAATAAGAAAAATGTGAATTTTTTTCAAATTCTTTTGGGGGTGTCAAAGAGGATGAGAGGGTGAATTTGGGTGGGGTGCCAGTAGGGGAGCAAGGGGTTGTCCCCCAGAAACATTGACCATATCAAGGTGCTATTTGATGATGTCTGGGCACTTAAAAAATGTCTGAGACAATACATGAATTCAGAATATTTTCTTTTGTTTTGTGGGGGATGTGAGGGATGGCTAACTCTTGAGATTATTTTACCATTTAAAGATGATATTTGGTGCTTCTGGGCACTTTTAAAGTGTATAAGTCAATAAAAACATTGAAAAACAATTACAATTTTTTTCAAATTTTGGGGGTGTCAAAGGGGGGGGGAGGGGTGCCAGAGGGGGAGGTGGGGCTGGGGTGCCAGAGGGGGAGCACGTGTTTGTCCCCCATATCAAAATTTACAATATCAAGGTGCTATTCGATGAAGTTTGGGCACTTTAAAAGTGTCTGTGCCTAAATGTGCCTATTTCCGAAGAAAATTTTACAATTTTAAGATGCTATTTGGTGCTTTCTGGGCACTTCCAAAGGGTCAATAAAAAAATTTGAAAAATCTAAGTAAGTAAGTGTTAGTCTTCCAGAATCATTAACTTGTATTAAGGAGCTATTTGATGATGTCTGGGCAATTTAAAAGTGTCTGAGACAATACATAAAACAAATTCAGAACTTTCCAATTGTTTTGTTTGGGGTGTGAGGGGTGAACCACTCCCTCTAGAAAATTTTACAATTTTACGACGCTATTTGGTGCTTTCTGGGCACTTTCAAAGTGTATGAGTCAATTAAAGAATTTGAGAAAATCACAATTTTTTTTTTTTTGGGGGGGGGGTCAAGGGGGGGCGCCAGAGGGGTGGGGGTGTTATGCAAGTGCAAGATGCAAGAGGGGGAGTAAGTCCCCCAAAAACACTAACTATATCAAGGAGCTATTTGATGATATCTGGGCACTTTAAAAGTGTCTGAGACAAAACTCTAAAATAAATTTAGAACTTTTCCATTGTTTTATGGGGGGTGTGAAGGGTGGCCAATACCCCTAGAAAATTTTACAATTTTAAGATGCTATTTGGTGCTTTCTGGGTACTTTCAATGTGTATGAGTCAATGAAAAAAAAAATTACAAAAAAAAAATATTTTTCAAAAAAAAATTTTTTTTTAATTTTTTTTTAAAATTTATTTTGGGGGGTGACAAAGGGGGGTGCGGTCGCACCCATCGCACCCCCCCCATCTGACGGCCCTGGCGTAAGTGAAACGCAATGAGTTGAAAATTCTGCGTCAGACTTGATCTAATATGCATAAAAACAGTAAAAAACTCTCTGCCAGTTCTCTGCCAGCTCTGATATAGATCTCATTAATAACCTTCAGAGTTATCATCAATATGTAAATATCATCAAGTCACTATAGCGTGCAATTCAAAAGTTAAAGAAGAAATGGTACATTTTGGAGTATGATTCTTTGGCGATGTTTTCAATAGCTTTTATCCCTCGTTTTATTGGACTTTAAACAGAAGTGAAGGCAACCTGCAAAATAATAAATCCATTGCATGGAGTAGGAAACTTTATCACGTATAACGAAATATATGAGTTAATGTGTTTTGGAGTATATGTTGCGCAAGATGAATCATTCATGAATTCTTCAATTTACTTTTGTTACTTGGTTAGACCTGTGCATTTAGAAATCAATAAATCGAAAATGTATCCTAAAATTACACCACGCCATCTCACTTACGTCACATCCGGCTGTCAGAATATTACATTTCTGTATCTGAAGTCCTACTCTTAGGCATATTTCTAGGTAAATAAGAGTGAATCGAGACTTAGAATGCTATATATTAGTGAAATAAATATTCTCTCTCAATAAGCTCGAAGCCTGATCAACCAGAGTCACCTAGAGTACTGGACAAGTCGAGCAAAGGGTGAGATAATTTTTTTTTGAATTTTGTTTCTTCTCAATTTTTTTTGTCTGACTCTCTGACTTTTATTCAAAGTAATTTTTCTCGCTATGTTCATGATTAGGATGATGAAATAGGGAATGTAATGACAAATGGTTAAAATTACTGGACCACTAAAGCCAGCCTCAGATATGGATCTCTGGATAGGAAATTTGTTCAGTCAAATAAAATGGAAAGATGACACATACTGTAGGGTGCAAAATGTTGTTCTGAACAGTAAAAAGAAACAATGTTGCCAAAAATGAAGTAAGATTCTTACTCTTACTCACGGTTATGGGAAGTCCTCCATATATTACATATTATATTTCTCAGGTTACGCATCTTCCATCCAAAATAAAAAATATCGTATTTTTAAAATAAATTATTTGTCTAGTTTTCGTTAAACAAATATCCTGAGACACATAGGGCTTGTAGAAAACACTAAACAGAAAAATAAAAAAAATATTCATACCTCCAAATCATAGATCCCGGCCAGATTCTTTTGTAGTAGAATCAGTAGCTCAATAATATTTCCTCAAGATGAGACACCTCAGAAAATTTCAAATTTTAAAATGACGATTCTGGAGCCATTTCTGAAAAATATGAGACAAATCATACCTCATTCGAAGGGTCTTGTTATTCTTTACCTTTTTTATCACCAATGGCCGTTATTCAAGCAATACTGCGTTGATAAGAGGCCAAAACAGTGATATTTTATCGCCGGACTGTTGTCTGTCCAAATCTGAATGTTGCTCCCGTGGTTCCAGAAATGTGACGTCATCATTACAATGATATTTGGACACACAAGAGTCCGGATTTCGTGAAAAATATTCGCCGTATTGAAAGTCAAATAACTGCATCCATAGGTTATTTACTCGAACCAAACAAGTAGAAATAGAAAGATGAAGATCTCAGCTATAAAATAAGTGCAAAATCTGTCACGGGGAAACAGGTACCATTTTGTATAAGGAACGTTTTGAAAGGTGGTCACTTTTTTTTCGAAATTTTCCAATTTAGTGTCGTATCTTCTGTATTATTCTTTGAGCCTATGATCCTACTACAAAACGATCTGGCCAATATCTGTGCTCCAAATCTGCTTTATTGGTCAGATAATGCACCAAATCATAATGGTTGTTCAAAATAAAAATTTAAGGGGACGCTCCGCCTTATCTCGCGAGAATAAAGCAAATCACGCACCATCTCGCGAGAATAAAGCAAATCACGCAAAGGCGCGTGATTTTTTCGACCAATCAAATAGCTTGAAATTTACCAAACCATTTCGTCCAGTGTTTCACACATGCGCAGTAGAAATTGTCAATTTACTGAGCGGACCCTTCAATGGCCTGGAGAAATTCTACTCACGATAATTGATGATTACTGAACACATATAGGCATAAGAGGTGAGCGACCCAATTATTTTTGCGTATAAATGATTCAAGAATAGCATGATATCAAACAATCTGTACATTATGCTACGATTCATTCAAAAATTGAATCTAGAGTACAGGTGACCATATTTTTTTCATATTTTTTTAATTTTTACTAACATTACCTGGTGTATATATACCTCCTAGATGGAGGACTTCCCACTATCCGTGCTCTTACTCCATTTACATGTATCTAGTGACGTATATTAACCAGGAAGAGAAAAAGCGATGAGGTGAAAAATATTTCCAAACCTTACTCACTTGCCTGGCAATAGAAGAACACAATGATAACTTTTACGTTATGAGATTGTTCACAATTGGATCAAACATTGATGATAAGATTAAAAATCAATAAAAGCCATATAAAGGTGAATATTTCTCAAAGGATGTTAAAAAACGAGGAGGCGGTTGCCTTGTTGCAAAAAAATTTATTACAAAACATTTTTTAATAAAAAAAACTACTTGTAGTAAGACCAAATTTTGTCAAATAACATTAACCGCAAAATATATGAATGAATTGCTGATATCACAATAAGTGCAAGGAAGTATGGGTGAATCCTACAATACTCTTCTGCAAGTGCAGAATTACATGAAATTGAAGATGCTGTATTCTGACAATAACATTGTGCTAAAATTTGTATTTAATTCCACAAAATATTTGAAAACCAAGCTGCCATACTTGTTCCTTTTGTAATTCCTGCACATTCATTTGCAGCACTACAAATGTATTCTTAGTTTGGGGGAAAAATAAATTTAACATTTAATACAAATTATGGTATATACAGTAAAACTTGTGTAAGTGAACACCTCTCTCTATATTGAACACCTGTCTCTAGTAGATACCCTTCCTCTGCACATACTGACTTCTATATAAATTACCCTCTCTGTAGTGGACACCTACCAAACTGAACATTATTTCAGTAAAAGTTTCAATACACACAGGTTCAACTGTACTATATGGCCTCATTTAGGTACCAACTATATTTTTGGTCTTGCATCAAGCTCAAGCTGTTGTATCCCTCTCCCCATCTATTCCATTGATGTATACAGGGGAGAGGGATCACCAGGGAGATGACATATTTTCCCATAAAATGTGTTTCAGATTTAACATCTCGAGATTTATATTTTATAGACTTGATATAATCAAGAGTAATTCCTGTATTAAATTATTAATGTCCTGTCTCATAGTATAGTGGAAAATATACCCAAAATGTAAATTACTGAAAAATTGATTGAGCTGGTCATGAATTTTACATCAGGTAAGCCGTAGATCAGTTCATGTTTTGATCACTACTGGAGTCTACCAAAACTCATCCAAATTTGTTTCTGGGGCATGGGAGGTTGAACTCATACTACAGCCTCTCATCAATAATCAGTAAGAATATAGGCACATGTTACAGCATAATTTTCATTCTCTAATTTGCTTACCCTTTGTATTCGTTCGACTTCACTTCTTAAAAGAGAGCTCCGTCTGTAGTTTAACTAGACTCTGTATGCAGGGTATAATTTTCTCAGAGTAGATCTCAATTCTAAATTTGAAAAAGGTGAAGAATAGACTTTGGAATATTGTAAAAGTTGCTTACAATTTTATATTCCCAGTTTTTCTGAGATGTTTTTCACCAAAATCTGCCACATTACTATTAGATATTTCACATGTATCTCTTGCTTTCAATTTTTGAGTTTTAATTTTTTTGTTATGGTGATAAGGAGATCTGAAAAAAGCGATGAGTCGGAATTAGAATCTTATTAAGGAATCACTTTCTTAATATTTTCTTAAACAATAAGGTTTTCTGGCTTTGTGAGGTGAATGCTTAAGTAGATTACTCATTACTCTATTAGTGATATTGTGTTGTCCCCGACAACTGTATTCATATATCATAAGAATAAGCTGTTCAGAAATTGTACTCTCTGGATTTCTAATTTCATATTGATTTCCAGCTGTGGTCAAACCACTGCAGTACCAAATAGTCATTTTAATCAATTTCAGTCCCCTGGTGCTTGTTTCAGTAATGTTTCATAGCAATATTAAAGTGAGTCATTATCCAAGATTGGAGACTGTGATTATGCATGGAGAAATCTCGAACTAATGTCATACTTTATTTGTGAATTACAATTGTATATTGAATTCAGTGAATCAGAAATCTTCGACATTTCCAAATGGTTCATTAAGGCTCATAAATCAGGACTCTTTATGTTATGGTGACTTGTAAATTCGAAATTGTTTTTTTAGCTTTTATCTTACATTTTGATACACGATACCGGAATAGATTTAATATTGCAGATCGTGTAAGAAATATATAATACTGTAAATATATTATGAGTGAAATACCACAGCCATTTCAAAATGAATTTATCTTGTTATAACCACGAGGTCATTCACAGAAATATTTTACAGTTAAGAATGGTTATAGCAATTGACTTAGGAATTCTGAAATTTACAAAAGCTTATATTAATAACCCCTTGGTTATTATATGTACTTTAAAGAGACAGTTTTTTCTGTTTTGAATGGAAAGGGGGATTGGCTCCCAGACCTTCAACTTGATATTTGACCTTGACCTTGATTGACGACAACATTGAAAATGTTATTTCCTGATATCATCAATGACTATAAATTCATAATCAATGTTCCAAAAGATTTGAACTAATATTTTGATCACTTCCTGTGTGTTTTGAAGTTTTTGTTTGGGAATAAGACCAAAACCAGCGATTGATAATTCTGAAGTGAAAAAATGATGGCTGCTTGAATTTAAAATTTTGTAATCACGACTGGACTCCATATATGGCAGAAATTAAGATGGAACCCTGGGAGCCAACCCTCCTTGATGTTGAACCAGGTGGCAATTAGTTCTCAGGATATTATATTTTCTATAAATGCTCATAGTTTTTCAAAAGAGGAGAGAGTTGAATATTCTTCCTCTGCAATTAATTTGGCCCTTTGTTTCTAATTGCATGCCTTTTGACAATTATTTTGAAGCATGCACACTGGGTAATGGGTATGTACATATTGATGAAGCTACAACATATTGATTAAGGTACAATTATTCTTGAGAATCTCGGCTCCAGACATTATATTAAATACAAGATGATAAATCAAATGTTTTATTTATCAGATCATGTAATATAGATACAGTTCACTCTGACATTTTGTGTTATTGTAAATTAACATTCATGGCAGACATTTGCCTTGATTTAGTTATTTTCATCATCTTGAAATCTCTATGTTATATGTACATGTAGTCAGTACAGTATTCTGCTCATTATTTCACTTGGGTGGGTGTAAAAGTCTTACCCTGTGCATAGAGTCTAGTTATAAACTACTAAAGCTCTCTTTTAAGAAGCAAAGTTGAACAAATGTAGAGGGTATAAAATTCAAAATTCAGACCAAAATTGGTCAAAATATGTCCTTTTTATGATTTTCAAATACAAGGGTACAAATAGACATTAGGATGGTTTCAGGCATAATTTCTAAACATCAGTCTCTTTAGCAAAAGGGTCACTGTGATGGAATCATGATAGGCAATAGGCATCATACATTTTAGAATCAGAAAGCTTTATAA